ACAGACGAATAGGATTTCAGTTGAACTCCTGTGCACTAAATAATACTCTTCGAAACAAAGGATGACTAGTGTTATTTTTTATAACAACAACATATCTGACATTTGTCCAATTTGAAGGAAACCGATTGCGATTATAAGGGTTATAGTTTTGACAGTTTCCTCCAGTGGCGGCGATTCTTGCTGAGTTGACTGAAATTTACTACGGAAACACTATTATCCAAATTGAGAAGAAAGAAAAATGAGAGCTACCAATAAGAAACTTTGCACAAACGTTTTTATAAATAGGTTTGGGAACTTTAATGGACTTCAACTGTCTGTTGAATAAAGAGGAGACGAAGTTTCCATCGAAACTTTGTCCCATTTCATTCAACAAACATTTGCAATCCATCAAAGTTCTCAAACCTATAATATTTTTTACAAGTTCCGGAAAACGGCCATTATGTGTCAAAATCATGGGTGATATGGTAACAAAGGGTTAGTGAATTGTGACAAGAGTTACCTCCGTGAAAACTTGTTTTGTAACATCATGGTTGAGATGGTAAGAAGTGTTAAATGTATGAAGACTATTCTGTAACCTCAAGGGGGATATAATAACAAGGGTTAAGGGCATGGAAAAAAAAACAATAAAAAACTGCAAACGTTCTTAGAGCCTCTCGCATTATTTCTTTGGTCGGGTTACTTGAGAAGGACCTCACTTTGTACTTATGGTCTACATTATATCAGCATGAAAAGATACGTCTTCGGTACGGTAGATGTTTTTTTTTTAATCTGTCTGCTGCACCTCTAGCTTATACCAGGTGAATGCTCTATAAGAAAGGAATGGTTCACTTCCAAGGACTGTAAATCTTACAAGTTGATACAAAGAAATATACTGAGAAAAGGAAATTCTTAGGACTACAGACCATTTAAACTTTTGTCAAACGATCCATTCGGAAGGATAGGTTTTATTATGCCATTATATCATATTACATGAAAAATACGAGATTCTACCCAAAATAAATTAAATAGCTGAATAAATGTATGGGTAGCTCACAGTTTTAACCTCCTCACTGAAACTGGCAAAATGCTTAAGTGTCAAAATAAAATGAGCTCATTATCATGTTTTGGATAAAAGATGGTGCTTTAATTTTTGTTTATTTTTAAAACGAGAGAATATAAAGTCACGTGATTTTTCTAGTTGTTAAAATCAGATGTCGAGTGAGTCAAAGACGCCTAGCGGCGCACAAGGAAAGTCCTGTGTTAGTGTGTGGTCCTGGGGAATGGCTAAAACTGGGGTGAGGCCATACGTGTGCTTTCAACTTTTTTTTCATTCACGAAGCCATGTGTAACCTCTGACACAGAGTATTCAAAAAGAGAGAGAGGACGTGAAGCACATTTATTTTAGCAGCCAAAGAATACTAACTTTAGGCCAGATTATTGTATCTATCTGTAACTATGAAATTTTATATCTTCTTACATCAAACTAACCTTCCTTTAGTGTAATAGGTAAAGGACTGATTGATATATCGTACATTTTCCCAAACAACCCCGAATAACATCTGAGAGTACCATGCCTCACTGAAGATCATTCCTCTGTACTGGTGGTAACCATTCTTGAAACATGAGTCACGGCCGGAGTATAGTAAACAAACCTTCATTCACATTTTCACTAGAAAACATCATGCAGTAGTTTCTCTCCCTCGGTCATTCCTTCTTGTCTGTAATTTTCATTGAAACAGCGCGTGGCAGATTCCCTCTTCTCTCGATATTACTCTATTGTTTTAAAATATTTCCCAGTGTGGATTAACATTAATTTTTACAATATTAATACTATATTGTTTGTTATGAATTTTAAGCTTTAAGCTTCTTTTTAAAAACTTGAGATTTTCTCGAATAACTTAAAAATCATAAAGCATGACGTTTCACTTCTTCAGTACCAACTGTAAAAAAGAATCCTGAAGCCAATAACTTAGCGACAGAAAAACTAAACTTTAATTCAAACACTAAAAATAAAAATATTGTACAAATTGGTAAAAAGAGACCTCTGAAACCATTAAAATAGCGGTATAAAAACTAAATCAGAACCATAAAACAAACCTTAAGCCAATACAGTAAAACCTTGTTTAATTTTGTCGTAATCAACCGTGTTGAATTCTTAGGATAACTCTACACCCACAAAAGTGGGCTTAGCGGTGGTAGCCTCTACCATCCAGTTATTCATGACTTCTACGAGTAATAAAAATATTTTGTAAATGTAAAATGATGTAGGGATGGCAGTGCCAAGAAGAATGGAATCAAGAATATAGAACATAAATAATCCCTACATATGAATTTCATGTTACAGTGTAAAATGCACGGGTGTAAAACGGTTACGAGGTTGGTCAACTCGACTGACCTCGAAGCTAGAGTCTGTAATAATCAAGACATGTTGTGACTCAACTTGGTTTTCCTTGTACGTAAGTCCTAGGCTCTTAGTTACACCAATAGTCAGGAATATATAACTTCCAACTGCAGTGTAACATTAAATGTTAATAATTGAAAATCATGAAGGGATAATCTATGTATGGCTGTATCATCCCTATATTCTTGTTTGCTTTCATTTTGGCACTGCCATCCCTACATTATTTTACATTGATAAAATGTTTTAATTACTTTTTTTGTGACCTTTTCCCCCTGACTGAAAGTTAGTGTATACTATAAGCGTGTGTAATAAAATCTAATACTATGTGTATTGATTTTTTTTACTCCTTCACTTCATACATAATATAAGGGTTGGCTCCCTACATACACCGATTGTATAGTGTACAAAGTATTGAGTATTCTCCACGTAACAATCATCTAATGTTCATCTATTATTAGCTGGTAATTCCTGCTTCATCCTGTACTTAAGCTTTCTAAAGGTACACCAAATTTCTGTAAAAAACTAACATCAAGGGGTAATGATAACATTGTTTACGCTAGAATGATTATGTTTTTCTTTTTAGTTGCGGCATAGCGGCTCATAGAATAGCTCTGAGTGTTGTTGTTTTTTTTTCAAGTACAAACTTTTAGTTCATAGCTACGTCATATCTTGACCGACTTGAGATATAATTAAAGTTTTGGATTCAGGATGCCAAACCCTTTCGATTGATGTATTTGACCACGCCCAAACGTCTCATAGATTAATTTACTCTAATCCTGCCTAAGAATTTCAATTTGAGGGTATGCTTTTAGAGATCCTGATGAGTAATAAAATCAAGTCGGGTATACGCGCGCCCCACGCTTGGTAATGATGGCGCACAAAAATATAGCTAATAAAAATGAAAAAAAGGTTTCATATATTAATTTACGCTAATCCTGCCTAAAATAATTTCAAGTGACGCTGAAAGAGCGAGTAGGTTTGGGGTGAAGGGGATTGAAACCCGCGACCCTCAGGTTGCGTGTCAAGCGCCCTAATCACCTGGCCATGCCGGGTAAAGCTCCCAGTAACTTAGCCATAAGTCAGTGGGCCTACGACGCTAAAAAATCGGGTTTCGATACCTGCGGTTCGCAGAGTACGTTAACCTTGTGCTCAAAAACAACAACCAACAGAGAAAGCTTCGCTGAAAAAAATTAAACGATTATGATTTTTTTTCAGCTATGCGAGGCAGAAATTTTTTCAAGATGTTTGAGAAATGATTGGATTCCCTCGTCAAACGTATAAAACCTGTTTTTTTGCCAAATGTAGCTTTTAACACAAAATCATAAGACTTTATTTATCCATTTAGCTATTAAATGCAAAGAAAACAAACTTCTGCCAAGCAACATAAACGAGGAAGTTTTCAGTTCTTTACGAAGCTACTAAAATATGTTGAGCGACACTCTGAATTTACAAGGAACAAAATGCCAATTTTGACAATATGTAAAATAAAAACAAAAAGTTTAATTAGTAAGGTGATTAATTTGGTTTCGCGCAAAGACTAGATGGAAGGCAGTTAGTCCTCACCACCCACCGCCAATTCTTAGGCTACTCTTTTACCAAATTTTACTATATTACAGCGAGAAATTACTAGCAGCTAGAAGTTAACCACTCTTAAGTCACCCACAGTGTATATAGTTAATACCAACTTTATTTATTCTAATACCCATATATATTTTCCAGAAAACAATATTTTAGATATCACACTGATAAGACCACACGGATAAACTGAATTCTTTAACATTCTGTTTAACTCTCACAGTTCTCGAACTGCATTGCAACAACAGTGAATAAAAATTGGTAGGCCATCTTTTATTTCCTATTAACTTTTTAAAACCAAGTTTGGAAGTAAAACTGAGTTTATCACAACAGTTGTGGTTATTATTTTACTTAGTATAATGAATTATTAAACGAACTATTAATATAATATCCAGAAACCAGAGCCTAGTAGCAATCAATCAATGCTTTAGTCAATGCTTACCTGAAACTGAAGATGACTTTATCGCAGATGAAGACTCCTTGTCTACTTCAGTGAATACTACAGTCTCAAAGAGATCTAAAAGTTCTCTTTCATCTTGGATATTTTGTAAAATATCTGAAGGAGTGTCTTGGTTGTCAACGGTTTGTGTAGAATCAAGACAACACTTTTCTTTTACAACAGTCTCAGAAAGATCTGAAAGTTTATTTTGGTTATCAGCATATTCAGATATGTCTGAACTACAACCTGAAACTTTGTCATTTTGGGGAAGATCTAGATAATTATTCTGATTCCCTAAACTTCCTGGAAGTTCTATAAAACACCTATCATAATTATTTGAACAATTTCCCTGGCTGTCAACACATTGAAAATTATTGGAATGATTTCCATTAGCATCGGAGGATAAAACCGGTTGACACTCGGTGTCCATTCCATCTCCCTGAACAGTATTAGAGTTCTGGTCTGTAACGACCACTGAAGAATTTAAGAGACTAGTCTGGACTGAAATTTCTTTTGTGTCCACTGAAGCATTATGACAACGGGTTGATGGTTCAGAACGCACGTGGTTACAAGTCCAGGGTTTCCGCACAGTTTCACATTCAATTCGTTCAATGCCTCTCTCAACGGTCACCAGGAGGTGCTGCAGAAGGGTGGGCAAATACTCGTCAGACTCAGGGTTCGAGAGTAGTCCTATCGATGAAGTTGACGTACCAGAGACATCTTGTAACCAGTCCATTGTGAAAAGTTTATCGAAGTATTTCTCATTGATTACCCGTTCCTTAACACCAGCATAATCCCTGTACACACAGGTAAGCAGGAGGGAACAGTCACGTTCTCCCTCTAGCTCGCTTGTCTTTCCTCCACGAAGACAGAAGTAATGGTCTCCAACTCTTAGAAACGCCTTGTCTATTTCACCCAGCTGTATGACCACCCGTTTCTGGAAGCAGAAAGGCCAACCCTCCAAGTTTTGTTCACAGGGACATGAATCTGTGATGGTCGACTATAAAAAACAAATACATATTGTAGAAAAGTGTGGCTAAAAATGATTAACCACACATATATATATTCAGAAGGTTTTGATTTGATTATGAAATATCCTAAAGAAGAACTTCCACAATTTCAGGTTTAAGAACAAACTATAAATATTTGTGTTTTTAGTTATATTTGTCATTTTCTAGCCTTGCTGCCACCAAAATGTTCGTTCAACATTTTAAACTCTGTAATGAAGTTAAGATCAACTATTACGGAACACAATATATATGAAAAGAAGTTTCAACACTCTCACGTGTCCTCTTCAAACGTGCACTGAAGAGAGAGAGAGAGAGAGAGAAACAATACGTTAAAGTGCCAACACTTGTTTCCCTTATAAGTTCCGTAATAGTGAATGTTAACTCTACCTTAGGTTATTTTACACAGTATTATGTACTTACATACAACATGTCCTTTATCCTTAGGTTATTTTACACAGTATTATGTACTTACATACAACATGTCCTTTATCCTTAGGTTATTTTACACAGTATTATGTACTTACATACAACATGTCCTTTATCCTTAGGTTATTTTACACAGTATTATGTACTTACATACAACATGTCCTTTATCAAGTTGTTTAGGTCAATGTGGCATAATTTGTTAAGTAAATGTAAAATACATATTTTAAAGGTTTTATTTCTGGGAAATGTGGCAAGAAAAGTTGAAGTGGACAGGTTTAATATTTCTACTTTAACAGTAGGTGTAATTTATAAAATTATGAAACTCTTGACGTATCACTAAAATAAAAAAGAATAGAAAAAATATACATTCATCCAAGATATATTCTTCATAATCAACAAACGAAGACTCTCAAGTTTTCATACAGTTTTATCTGCCTATCTCAAGTTTTCACACAGTTTTATCTGCCTATCTCAAATTTTCATAGTTTTATCTGGCTTATCGGAAGATTATTACTTTCACCTCAACGTGTCATTGATGATAAAAAAAAAGGCACCGTGGCCCTGTTGCTTTTCATCTTACATTTGCCATCTAGATAGGTAAACAGACAACTTACATACGTAGTTATGTGTGTATGTATGTATTCACACACATTTATTAAACAGATTTAGTGATTAAACAGTGAAGGAACGTATAACGTAACAAAAAGATGGAAATACTTCCGAAAGAATTTATGTACGATATTTTAGGGTTCTACTGGAATCTAAAACAACTTGTTTGTTCGTCCTCTTGATGCGCAGAACTAATAGTAGAAGAACCTCTGAGGTAAACTATTGTCTCCTCAACAGGTTAATACCTACGAGGTTAAATTACAGTCTTGCATGCCAGACAGAATAGAGAGAAGAAAACCAAGGCTTCCGTTCGTGGTTCCTCCCATCAAATTATAAATTAGTGATTAAAGTAACATATATATTTTATAATAGAGGTTCTTTGACAATTAGATATACGTGTATCTGAAATCTTACTTACGAATAAGGAAATACAACTAAATAAATTAAACGACACTTTAAAAATATTAAAAACGAACATACAACGTTAAAATGCTGCATATAATAAAATTAGCTTTTTTGAAAACAGAGTACAGTTCTTAAAAGACTATATGTTTCGGCAGCGTACTCAGGTATGTCTAAACTCCAGCTAAACTATCTAAAGAACATAATCAGCTGAACAATTTCTTTTGGATTATTCATGATGGCAACGTAGAACTTTGTTGAAAATGTAGTCTTTTTAGGGATGTGCCCTGTTGTTGGTTTTTTATAAATAAAGCTAATTTTATTGTGCAACAATTTAACGTTGTATATTTGTTTTAACAATAAGAAATACAACTAGTTCAAAACTGTATACATTTATAAAAAAAAAACAGTTATTACTTCAATACGTTTCTACCGTACCATAAAAAGTGAGTTAGATTTTCACACACCCTTTTCTGCCCCTCCCCATCCAACTGTTCTAAACCCGCTTCCTCTATCTAACTGTCAGGTGTTGAAGTTTTAATGCATATTGAAGAACGATGACAGACGTATAGTCATTGATCTTCTCATGGATATTTCACAAGAAACCCTAGTCACTCCCTGCTATATTTCTTTAGGCTACTCCCACAGACCCAACAAAGGCTGTGACTGTCTAGAATGGCGATAAATCATGCTCTTACTACTTACTCAAACTATAGTTTATTAGCCAAATACACGTTCGCTACTAGTAAACAAAAACAGTTTTTACCTCCCTGTCAAATAAAGTGAACGTTGTTTTACAGGCGGTCTGATTCGTTCAAGTTTGAAACGTCGTAAAACTAAACCTTTATAAGATTTAATTATATGTACATTCACATACTAGTAGTTTCAGAAACACGTGCCCACTATGTTACAGGAAAGTTTACGTGTAAATTATGGTTTGTGTAAATCATCAGCAGTCACATACCCAAGCTATGTATATTCTCATCTTTCTTAAAAAAGTCACCATCTTTTTTTGTGTCAAGAGACAAGCACATTTTTTTTGTTTCAAATGAGATTTTAAATGTTGTAATACTAACTAATTACTGTAAAAATGCAAATATTTAAAAAACACTTGTGTTATGTTGGTGCACAATTTCAAGACATCATGTTACTGATGCCAACAGCAGTTAGTATAAGCTCAATGAGATGAAAAGGACACAGCTACAAATAGAGATAATACAGTTAGTTTCTCTCACAAAAAAATTATATAGTTCTGCGAATTAACATGTTTATTTCTATATTATATTGTCTGTTACGTTTTAACTTTGAAGTTGGACATGTAACACCATTTATGAAGAACAGAAGAAAAGGCTTAACGAACCAGGAAAGTAAAATCTAGACATCAAAGCTTTGCTATCTC